AATTGTATCATGGCTGCCATAGAATCAATCGGTAGATTTGAAGAAAATATAAAGCTGGGAGTGTGTGTAAAACTGTAACTGTCAAACTGTAGACATAATAAGTAAAGGTAAAATGTGATGAAACTCTGTTTTGTGTGTGATTCCAGCATTTAAATTTATAATAGATAATATTGAAACCAAATTATTATATGCTATGTATAAATACACAATTTTTATGAATTTTATTTTTTTCCATTAATTTAAGAAGAATGGATCTTTTCTTAATGATCCAATTGCAAACTGCAAGGGTATACAAACTTCGGCGTGCCGAAGATAGATTCCTTTTTTTGTTAATTCTTGATATTAATAGTTTTTGGTATATATAGCAATTATTGGTATTCTTTCTAAAATATTTGGTATTTATTTAAGCTCTTTTCTTAAGAATATGGAAAATCTTAAATCTATTTTTTTGTTCTTTAATAAAACCTGGAAAATCTTCTTTTTAGAATTTTTGGTCTTTTATCATATTAAGATTTTATTTTAAGAATGCACAAAATCTTAAAAGAATTTTTTTTACCAGTGTATGTATACATTGCTGTAATCATATAAAATCCAAATTTAATATAAAATTGTATTTGCTTGCAGTCTACTTATAACTAAGTAGGTAAACAGGGGGAAACGCGGACCTGACAAAATCGGCGGTATATGTTTATTAATCAATACAATTTTCGAAAGCTAAAAATCAATTGGTTATTTTTGTAAGTGTTGTTATATTGTTTTTAGTTAAACTTTTTCCAAATGGAGATTCACTAAAATCGATTTAAGGAAAAACAAAACCCAACAGTATACCCGGCATTGGTAGGGTTATGGTGGGTTATTTGGGCACCTGTCCTTTGCAATTTTCCACGTCGACAAAAAATGAAATTTAATTTATAGCGCTTTTCGGAAGAGTTTTGCATTGAATGCAGACCTACGCCGTACATCAGTTCTTTAAGAGAGCAGGAGAAAGAGCTTTGTTGTCTTTGGTGCCCGAGCCAAGAATTTGAAAACAATTCAAGGGACGTCACTTTTTCAACCAAAAGCACAAAATGTGTTGAAAGCATATAAAGTCCAGCCTGAAATTTTTATATATGGATTTGTGCGCACATCAATAAAGATTTATGCCTTTAAGGAGGGCTGTGTCCGGGCAAAGTAATAAAAGTGGGCGTTTTGGGTGAGCGTTCCAGAACCAACGTTTATAGCCAAAACAAAAAAAACTCGAATTAAGATACACACATTGAGGTGGCAAGAAACGCCCCCAGGTTGGGGGAGGATCGGAAATACCGAAGAGAATATTCCAGACAAGCAATCAGATGCTAGTAATTTGCAAAAAATGCGTCGATTCACCTTATTTCAATAACAACTAGGACGCAAGCAACAAAAGCATTGAGGAAAATGCTAATTCCCTGTTGCCGTAAATGTCTGATTAGAATTTTCCTTCGCATTTTTTTCGTCCCCTGCCTTGACGACTTGGCGCGCTGATTAGCAAACGATGATGATTAAAAATGCGCTGAAATTACAAACTGGACTAAATTCGGCCTGAGCTGAAAGGTTCTGCTTCCCATCCACCCAACCACTGTGGGTTGTGCATGTATAATCAATAATACGAAAATCGATAAGGCAGAGACTGGTTTGGTTTTTGTTTAACCACTTCGTTTACTCACCAAGCATACTATTTTCTTTTTAAGATATAGAATGCAATAGTAAAAACCTTGGTAGTCCTAGTCCTAGTATACTCCAAAAATATGTACATACATTACATGCTTCTATTACAATTTATCATTTTTAATTTTGCCCTAATTGCATGCCATATTGGCAAAATCAACCACTGTGCACCACGTCCGCTTCACGGCATAGCATTGTGCCATTAATTTCGAGGCACGTTCAGCCTTTTGATTTTAAGGAATTCTTTTATAATTAGAAGTCAGTCAAAATGTCGTGAATTGCATATTTGCAAACTAATTGAAAATTCTGCGTAGCGGCATGTATATGAGACTCTGAGAACGCTTAAAATCGTGATGCGGCTAAGAAAATAACATATATTTTCCGCTTCAAGGAAAAAAACAAGAAAGGAAGCTAAAGTACATAGAAGTCAATAGGTTCGATAGGCATTTTCTAGATTAGTGCTGAATATGAAACTAATTAAATTATTAAACATTTTTTCTTGTTAATGTAACTATTACCTAATTTGATTAAAAATTTTTTTTTTTTTACCCAATGTCACATTTATCTCACCTCTTTGAGAGGTATTTATGTTTGATTTATTAGTTTCGTAATCGGCACAAAGCTTACAAATAATTAATAATAAATACTTACAGCGTGAACTGCGTCAATAAAATCAAGCCAAATAAGTTTGATTTTTCTAGTAACTTTTTATCTGTGTAGTTATAAGAATATATATGGTATATAAATGTGCCTGCATGCCGCACTGCTTCATCATCTGGACTCCCAAGGGTAATTTCCCTTTGTGTGTGCAATGGATAAAAGTCAAGAGACGGAGAAATTGAAGACCACCTCGAGACCACGAGGCTGAGAATCAAGTAAAACTGGCGGCAGTCTCTGGAAGTGCGCCGAATTGTAGACTTATGGAGACGGATACTGACGAAGTAATAATTTCGAAAAGCAATATCCGCCAGCTTATTCCTTGGCTCGTTTGGTCCGTTAATTGGCAAGCTGTATATTTGTTAAATTTTCTTATGCTTTAAAGAATATTGGGATGAAGAAGAGCCAGGGAGCACGGCTGACAAATACTTTATGCATGAGAAAATGGGGGGGGGTAAGGTATTTAATTTTTTTTTTTTCGTAAATTTTTTCAAATTTTTATTTTAAAGGCTCAAATCTTAAGAATATTGTGTCCAAGTTTTACATCGATCATAGGAACATTGACGAAGTTATGCAGAGTTGAAGGAAGGTCGGTTGGTGTTCAATGCATGAGAATCACAAAGTTTAAAGCGCTCTCCTGAAAAATGCCATTTTGAAAATCGGTGTACACGATAATTCAAAATCTACTGAACCAATCGGTTTGAAATTTGGAACATAACTTCTTTAGGTAATTCTACAGGTACTCACGTCGAGCTTTTTTTAAATTTAAATTTTAATATATTTTTAATTAAACAAATTAACTTAATTTTTTAGACAAAAATCGTGGTTTTGACTTCCAATTTTTATAAAAAATTGGTGAAAATTTTAAAAATAAAAACGCCACGTGAGTACCTCTGGACACTTATTCTTTAACGTATATAATATATATAATTTTTTATATAATAATTATAATTTTTTTAGGTCGGATGATTCTGTGGACTGTTAGGATAAACACCGCAAACCAACTTTTTTTTATAGGCGATTTCCTATAACTTCTCTACCTCTAAATGTTATGTAATACAAAATGTAACAAAAATTGTTCAAATGTTGTGTTATTATGTAGTATTTAATTCATTAAGCTAGCTTTAGCCGTTTCGCCACAACAAAAAGAAAAGAAATTTGGCCCATTTTGCACAGAATTAACCTTACCCTCCTCTTAAGTATATGTATAAGTTTATATATTGTTATACCCTTGCAGGGTATTATAATTTCAGTCAGAAGCTTGCAACGCAGTGAAGGAGACCTTTCCGACCCTATAAAGTATATATATTATTGATCAGCATCAACAGCCAAGTCGATCTAGCCATGTCCGTCTGTCCGTCTGTCCGTTTCTACGCAAACTAGTCCCTCAGTTTTAAAGCTATCTGAATAAAACTTTGCATATAGTATTCTATATACTCTCACTGATATATATGATAGGCCGGATCAGACGACTATATCAAATAGAAATGTTCGAAAAATTTGTAGAAAAAAAATTATAACTTGGCTGTTTTTCAACATTTTTGAACCATTTTTGAGATACGGCCAATTTATATTATTTTAGATTTTCGTTTTTAATTTTATAAAAATCGGACGACTATATCTTATAGCTGCCATAGGTACGATCGGGAACTTAATAAAAAACAAGAAAGGAAGCTAACTTCGGCACGCCGAAGTTTGTATACCCTTGCAGATTGGTTTTCATATTTATATTATAAATTATAATGCCGAAAACACACACAACAAAGAGTTTCATAACATTGTTTCATAACATTGTAGCTGCAATGGAAGCGATCGGTAAATGTAGAGAAAATATAAAGCTCGGAATGTAAAACTTTAAATGTCAAACTGTAAACATAATAAGTATAGGTAAAATGTTATGAAACTCTTTGTTGTGTGTGTTTTCAGCATTTTGTTTATGCTATGTATAAATATACAACTTTTTTATATATTTTCCGATATTTTTTTCTAACTATTTAACCAGAATGGCTAGATTCTTAATGGCCCAATTGCAATCTGCAAGCGTCTACAAACTTCGGCGTGCCGAAGTTAGCTTCATATTCTTTAATAGTAGCGCACCACACTCTCGCCGTTCATCGCCACTAAGTGCCATCAACAGCGATTTCATTTTCCTGTTTAGTAGACTCTTTTCTACATAAAAGACATTAAGAAAATCGTAAACAAAACAAAAGAACACACTTCTATATCTTCAGTGTTCTTTTTTGAATTCGTCCGGGAGTGGTTATGCCGGTGGGCAACCTTGAAATAGTGAGTTGTAGCTAGCCCAAAAGACATAGATTTTACCTATTGATCTGTATAAGCAGATACTCAAAGACTTAATATTTATTTTGTGACCCAGCTCATTCTTAGAGAAAGAAACCGGTTGTTATGCTAATCGTCTCGCTTCGAGTCGGAAACCCACTATAGTGACAGCAGTCTATAGAGCTGGCCATTATCACTATTAGCAACGTGCGACTAGCTTTGAATCACTTCCGCGACGAAAACGCTGGTGCAAATTGAAAGGCAGCCAAAAACCCTCACAAACGCAATTCTTTAAAAATATTATAGTTAGCTTTAAAATGTTAGTGGTAAGCTTTTAATAGCAGTGTCTAACATATTCAAGATGATTTTGGTTGCTTAAGCTTAGGCAAGAGAAGCGGGCAGGTAATATGTATTCACTGGGTTAGTGACACTGCTGGATAAGGGAGTTTGATAGGTATAACCAGCCGTTGCTCCCGTCGTGGTGGGGATCTCTGGAATCCCTGTGGTGCTCTTGACTGGGATCACTGGCGTCGTGCTTGTTGAGACTGGAGGCTCGGGATGTACTGTGGGCTTCGGCGTTTCGACAGCACCTTCTGTGGTTGTCGAGTAGATGGTTTGAGTTGAGCTTGTAGAGCTTTCATCCGGATAATAGTCTGTGTTTACCTCAGTGGTGGAGTGTGTGACCGGCCTCTCCGTCGTGCTTGTGGTAGAGGAGAAGGTGACAAACTTACTGATGCCGAACCCAAAGCCACCGCCCGAGGACTTAGCCTGCAGCACGCTATTTAGCAGCTGAATCTTGGTAGAGATGAGACTGGAAATCAGCTGGGTGTTGACGGGAGAAGCCGCCGGTGTACTGCCGGAGGAGTAGCCTGACGAAAGACATGGAAGATTAGTTTGCAGAAGAGAAGATCAACCGGCAGCTGGCGTACCACCGCTCGGTGCAAAAACTTTGATGAAAATCGGTTTCGCGTCAGCCATGATGGCTATGCTGCAGGCTAGCAGAGCCAGAATCGATATAGTTCTAAGCATGGTGCTGGCGTCTATGTATTGACTGGCCGCCGCGAATCAACGCTCACTTTTATATCCATCGCTGGGAAGATGGCTCAGCCGATTTTGTTGTTATTTTATTATTGTCGAGCGCCGAAGCTTTGAGCTCCGACACTATATCTCGAGATGTAAGCAAACATGATTCTAGCGTCCCCGGATGAGGCCGCTAGTGTCATGAAGTGGTGAGTACGGAGAAGCAAATGTCTTTTTTAATTTTTAGGTAACATGAGGCATTTTCAATCCTATACTCATACAGTACCAAATTTAACTGTAGTTGCACGTACAGAAGTATTAAATAGGGGAAAGACGCTTACGACCCCTCGTTGTGTATTCATATGTATGTACATATGAATCGTAGAAGCTAACTACACTAAGAACTTTCCGAAAAATGAAGAGTAGCAGGTATTGAATAGTCGAATCACAAACAAATTACGTTTCTTCATTTTGTTTACAAATGTTACACAAATGAATTAGAACAAATTGTATTTCGTTGTCTTTACATATGTATGTATATTTGGTCTTGACCTAATACAAGGTTATCATTAGGCCACACACCTTTCTTACAAATTGTTCATTGTCATCTTTATAAAATATCCAAAGGATTTCTGTTACTATAAGCTAGAATCATCATTGCATAAACATTTGTTAACCATTTAAATATGGATATGTTTGTAATAAAATATATTATCTTTCTTCGTCATCTTAATTTTTGATCGAAATCGACACGACCTCGAGTTTAAAAGAACATTGAAATTGCTATATTTTATATATGTATGTATATACATTAAAAGTCACACCAGCTATGGCGGATACTCATACTATATACCTATATATTTATATATATATATATATATACAGTTAATATATTATATTTGGTGGCCATGGTCAACAACTTTTTTACCCTTGCAGGTTATTATAGTTTCAGTCAGAAGTTTGCAACGCAGTGAAGGAGACATTTCCGACCCTATAAAGTATATATATTCTTGATCAGCATCAATAGCCGAGTTGAAATAGCCATGTCCGTCTGTCCGTTTCTACGCAAACTAGTCCCTCATTTTTAAAGCGATCTGAATGAAACTTTACACATAGTCTTCTTAATACTCTCACTGCTATAGGGGAGAGTGGGGTTAGGTGAACCATGGGGATAGATGAACCACTACAAATATTTAGCCTTCTGTCATGATTTGGTGCGCCATCTTATGTGTGTTGCTTACTAAGTCCATATTCTAACCTCACACCCACGCACAGTCGCGTTAAACGATTGTTGTCGTTTTTATCGCTAATCGAAGTTTGTATTCGCCGTTTGCAGCTTCAATTGTGACCTAACGTTTTCTTGAAAAAATTTTATCGTGCTTCGCCAGTGGCATTAAACTTCATAAAATTGTATTTTATCGTAAGAGGACGCAAATTATGATATTTCCACGGATAGCTCACGCAGTTTAAATATTTTATGTTTTCTTCAAATCACTTCTAATTGGCTAATGACTTGTGGGGATACATGAACCAGTACTTGTGGAGATACATGAACCAGTACTTGTGGGGATACATGAACCACCTTTCCAAATTTGATGTTCTAAATTTTCCATCGCAGGCTGCCAAAATGTTGAGAAACTACAAACAAAATATCAAATCAGGTTTTGAAAAGAGTGGAATTTTTCCCTTCAACCCACAAAAGTTTTCTGCATCTGACTTTCTTGGGAGTGATTACACTAACAGAGACATGAACACAGAAAACACTCACAATCAAAATTCTCAACAAATGGCAATCGTACAAGATGAAAATGTGCTCCTGAACACTCCTGCGAGGAACAATACCTCAGTCGAGTCCGCAATGTCTCCCAATATTGACCTGGATGACGTTCTTTTGATGATCAGAATGCATGGGTTCTTGCCAGGAAAATCGCCAGAGGACTTACGAGGGTACCCAAAGACTAAACCACGAAAACAGACGACTCGGGAAGAAAACGAGGAAGGAGTATCATTGCTACAGACTTACCGCAGAAAAATTGATCGCGGAAAAACGCAATCAGAAAACTCAAGAAAAAATAAAGAATAAAAACAAAAATAAGAATAAATAGCAATATTGTAATGTTTGATTTCACGCTGTAAAGGTGCAATGTTTATATTCGAACTGAAAGAAGGCATGCACAAAGAAAAAAATTACACTTTTTTTATACAATTGTAGTTTTTGTGTTATCCTGATAGGTGGTTCAACTATCCCCATAGGGTGGTTCAGGTATAAAAGATAGTATTTTTGCATAATACTCAATATTGCAAGGAATGTGGGCTCTTTTAGATTTCTATATAGGCAGACCCTTACGTCGAATAGTTCAGTCATAATAATGTTTATAAAAAAAAGTGGTTCACCTAACCCCACTCTCCCCTATATGTCGGAACGAACCGGACAACTATATCATATAGCTGCCATATAAAAGGTCGACATATTATCATACAAAAAATTATAACTTGGCTGTTTTTTAACATATTTTCATTATTTTAAAGATATAGCCATTTTATATTATTTCTGAATTTTGGTAAAAATTTTATGAAAATCGGACGACTATATGATATAGCTGCCATAGGAATGATCGGGAAATTAATAGGAAAAAAATTATAACTTCTTTGTTTTTTAACGTATTTTCATCTACTCTGAGATATAGGCTTATTTTGTTATTCTAGAATTTTGGTATAAATTTCATTAAAAATCGGACAATTATATCATATAGCTGCCATAGAAGCTATCGGTAGATGTAGAGAAAATGTAAAGGTGTGAATGTTAAACTGTAACTATCAAACTGTAAACATAATAAGTATGTATAGGTAAAATATAATGAAACTCTGTTTTGTGTGTGTCTTCAGCATTAGAATTTATAATATAAATATCAAAACCAATCTGCAAGGGTATACAAACTTCGGCGTGCCGAAGTTAGCTTCCTTTCTTGTTGATAAACTTTGATTTGGCTGTCTACTATTTGCCTGCAATATGGGCAGAGCAATAGAGACTTCGCCGCTTTTATTTTCATCACTTTGTAGCACTCAAAACATATTTTGAAGTGGCTACAAGGTAATAGTACCATATCACGCGGAGTGTCAAGCAAAATTATACAGTTAAGAACTTCAACCATTTGACTGAAGTGTAAAGTATTGTCCTCATCTTCATCTTCAGTATTATCTGAGCATGACTGCTCTTCAAATTTGGTGTCCCACCTAATCAAATCATTTTTTTGAATAATTAGGCTGCCAAAAAACTCGTTTAATGATATTGTTGCGCTCTCCCAGTCCCTGAGAAGCTCTTCTATTTTGTTGCCCTTGACTCTCTGCTTTTTTCGCTTTGCGCTTAGCGCGGTTAAGTCGCCATCCAGAGCATTAGCTAAAATTACGCTTGTAGCATAATCCTCATTTCGAATAACTTCGAGGAATTGGTCGAAGCGGCCATGCTTTTGCCATTTCCGAGCTAATGCAGCGTTGAAGGACTCCAATGAGCTTGTTGTTCGCATAACCTCAGCGCGCACAGAGAATACATCAGGTGTGGTCTGGGGAAAAAAAGTAAAAATACATGAATGAGAAAAACTATTAAACAAGAAAGGAAGCTAACTTCGGCACGCCGAAGTTTGTATACCCTTGCAGATTGGCTTTGATGCTTATATTATAGATTTAAATGCTCAAAACACTCACAAAACAGAGTTTCATTACATTTTACCTATACTTATTATGTTTACAGTTTGACAGTTACAGTTTTACATTCACACCTTTACATTTTCTCTACATCTACCGATCGCTTCAATGCAGCTATATAATATAGTTGTCAGATTTTTATGAAATTTATACCAAAATTCTAGAATAATAAAAAAAAGCTTATATCTCAGAGTAAATAAAAAATAAAAAAACAACGAAGCTATTTATTTCTATTAATTTCCCGATCGTTCCTATGGCACCTATATCATATAGTCGTCGGATTTTCATAAAATTTTTACCAAAATTCTGAAATAATTAAAAATTGCCATATCTAAAAGATTATGCAAAAATGTTTAAAAACAGCAAAGTTATAATTATTTTTCTAAAAATTTATCCAACATTTGTATGGCAGCTATATGATATAGTCATCCGGCCCGTTCTGACATATATAGCAGTGAGAGTATATAGAAGACTACATGCAAAGTTTCATTCAGATAGCTTTACAACTGAGGGACTAGTTTGCGTAGAAACGGACGGACAGACGGGCATGGCTAGATCGACTCGGCTGTTGATGCTGATCAAGAATATATATACTTTATAGGGTCGGAAACGTCTCCTTCACTGCGTTGCAAACTTCTGACTGAAATTATAATACCCTGCAAGGGTATAAAAAGAAAAATAATCTTACTTTAACCATCCATTCCTTTTCAAAGTAATTTAAAAAACGTTTCAAAATGCCGTGCCTGTTTTTTGGCAGCTCCAACAATTGGTCTTTCAAAATTGTAAACATTTCCTGAATTTTCGGAGGCTGAATTAATGGCAAGCTAAGAGACGTCCTGTACCATTTGTAGCAGTCCGTATTTTTTAACGTTGCTCTAAAATTAGGAATTTTTAAGCTGTTACGCCTTAAAGCTTGACAGTAATGAAACCAGCAGCCATTTATCATTGCCGTTGGGAACACAGTTTTTAACGCTTTTCTCAAAGCTATCTCATTATCTGTGGTAAAGCTATCCGGCTGAAACTTAAAAAAGTTGGCATTTAAAAATGCGAACAGGTCCTCGTAGACCTCTCTTGTCTTTCTCGCTATCAAAATGTAAATAAATGGAAAAGTCTGCAATTAGAATAAAAATGGACATGAACTTATTTGGTTAAATATCACACAAACTGTATATATTTTTATACTTACATGGTTCCTGAATTGATAATGAACAATTAGCAATTGTTTAAAGCCGCAAGAATGTTCCATCGTATCGAATGTTCCATCGTATCGAATGTTCCATCTATGAAAAAGTGGCGTTCTCCTGGCC